TTGCTGCTTCTGACCCACCTACTGCACTGGGTACAACAGCTGGAGGTTTTCATTGATTAGGGACTAGACAGAAGCCAGTCAGCCAGAAACCAACACTGACAAGACAAATCCTGGCAGTTACAGGTAAGAAAGAGAAGCGTCAGCATTTCTGAAGTCTCCTTGAAGAGACCAATTGGATATCCAATTGGAGGATATGCAGAAACAAGTGAGATGCCAGGCACAAATTGAGGGAGGTTAGGGTGGCACACCTCTTATTTTGGGAAGGATTTTGCCAGAGTTGTTGTGGTTTAAGCACTGAACCCAGGACAGAGTAATCCCTTCAAATTAACTAACATCTACGTTCTGAAAGTCCACTTCAAATGCACACCTATCCCCTACACCAAGACCTATCACCCCAAAAGCAGTGTCACATTTATCATCACTATTATCACGCAGATTTGTTCGTTGCACCATTTCTGGCTACTTGCAGATACCTGCAGTAAGCCCATGAGCCAACACCACAGTCTTGAGCATGTGTCACTGAACAGAGCCATTTCACTTCATTAAACCAGCAGAAAAACAAGAAAAAAAAAAAAAAAAAGAATGTAAAAAGTATTTAAAGAGAGTTTTCTATCAGGTTAACGAGATGGATCAGATGGAGGTGTACCCAGAAAAGTGCCAGAACTGCCATAAAGCCAAGGGAAAGAAAGACTGACAGGGCACAAGCATCTCCCCTTGCAGAAGCAAAACCCATCACATCACGGCCCAAATCGATCCAAGTTCACACCAAGACAGCATTGCCCCTGGACCATTTGGCTCTCCTAATTAAGCTCCACTTTTTTTGAAGGTATAATTTGCTAGAGGCTAAGCCAAATTGGCATGAGAACGATCGAACCAGTGGCAAATAGGTAAAATGATGGCATGTTACTTAGGAAAGAAGATGACTCAACCCAAATCAAGTGGGAAGTTGAGAGCCAAGAGAACAGCACTGCAGCAAAACAAGGCATCTGGAGTAGAAAAGCATCCACAACAGGAATTCCCGTGTGACTAGACATGAAATATTATTACATAATTGCTGTGGGTGATTAAAATGCAGCCTTCAACTAACCACTTCCCCCTACGCCACCCCCAAGAGGTGGAATGATCTGGAACGCTGCAGGTGCCCACAGAGGGATGCTGTGCCACCAACCTCTGCAATTTAATCAAGCTTCAGTCCTTGCCCATTGTCAGCTTTTGGTGCCCATTATACAAATCAGCATTCAGAAAAACAAACCTCCCCACCATGTAATGCAATCGAACACAGGTGACAGGTCATCCTAATAACAGAAGGAAAAAAAACCAGCAACCATCAAGCCCGTAACCAAGAGCTTCCATGAAAACTTTGCCCAAGATTACAGCTGGCTTTGCATATGGTCAGAAGATCCAAGCACTAAAGAAGTTAAAGAGAGCATCAGAAAAGTCCCTACTGTGTACACACTCCAACTTCCTGCTAGACTTCATGGCTATGTATGTTTAGTTGTCATTATGTTGTGTATTGCGTGAATGACAATAATTTACTTGAAGCATCACTTTACAAATGGGTAAAGTGGGACCTCAGGGTTTCTCCCAAGGCAAAAAAAGGAGAGTATTTCTCAGCATCCTTCCTTTGGACAGTGGCAAGATACATGGTCCGTTTAAAAGGCAGGGTTGTTTTTTTTCACTAGCCTTTTGCCTAAAAACTAGTTCAGGATACAGTGCTCTCAAACACTACACATGCACTCTGTTTAGAGCAGTGTGATAATGGTGATGTTGTGATAAAGAATAGATGAAAATCCTCAAAGAAGAATTCAGCAGTGAAAAAGCCTTAGAAGTGAATTGTCCTAAAAGAAGATACTTATGTACAAACCAACTTAAAGTCCAAGATTTATGTACCAAGTCAGGACATTAGCTCAGATGGGTGATTTAATATGGCCACTGGAATCCCTGTGGTTAAATTATGCCTTTGACCTCTTCACTATATGAATCTCAACAGTGTTAAATAATAAGCGGTACGTCCTTTATTACCATTTCCAGTTCAAATGACTGGCAGCACTATAAAAAGCACCGCTCCCAGTGACTCAGCCAAGGAGGTCAGGATAATGGCAGCACCTACCACGGTGATGCCACTCTCCATGGAAGGTGCAAGGCCACCCCTGGCTCCAGCAAAGCCTTAAAGCCAAGCAGAGCTAAGCAAAGCACGCAGCAGGGCTGGAAATTGCAAGATCTTCATTCCATCATTCCCAGCAGGACACAGGATGGGAGCAAATGGGCACCAGAGAAGGGAGAGCTGAGAAAGCCTGGGCAGAGAGACAACATCTGATGAAGGGTCTCCATCAGGAGAGAGGCTATAGAGATAGTAAACTGAACACAGTCAAAGGACAGCTATCTGCTTCTGAGGAACAGGGCACAGCGAGGTCTCACGTGCATGTACATCAACAAAACGCAGAGCAGGAAATACGCTTTGTGCTAAACGACCACAACTGTTTCATCATTTTTGCAGACAAAGCAACGATGGAGCATTCAGCAGTGATTAGCCTGGACCGCTGAAGATGAGAACAACGGGATTTACTGGCCAAACAAAAGCGCATTTTTTATTAATATACTTTTGGCTCTCTTTATGATATTTCAATATAACCCCTGGCTACTACACAGATGAGTCTATATTAGACTAAGATTTAATAAAATTCTATTTAGAAAGATGAGAACATTGCATAATACATTACAGAAACAAATGTATTTTTGAGGGGAATTAAGGGAGATCTGAACATCCAGTCTTCTGAATTCATCCAGGGCAGCTCTTTCTCACAAAGGACAGTGAAGATGCATGTAAGAGGAATCAGCAGTTACGAGAATTGCTCCCACAGTATCGGAGGTCCTGGGGGTTTATATGAAAGTAAGTCCAAATGAAGCTACACTGACATTCTGCCTGGGTTTTTACTCTTTTTCTTCACTGGTATAAAAAGAGACAGCACGGCCACCCAGAAACCCCCCAACAAAACCAAAGCATAAACTAAGGCAGAATCCTGACCTCAAGAAAACAATCGAATTATAATTAGATGAGATTTAAGAAAGAGTAACCCAGCTATGCTCCTTTCTTGAGAAAAATGCAGGTACAGGGTGGACTTGAATAGTTTGTGATGTAGAAGTGCATAACAAAATTTGACTTTTAAGAGAGGCAAATCTTCACTGGTATAAAAAGAGACAGCGCAGCCACCCAGAAACCCCCCAACAAAACCAAAGCACAAACTAAGGCAGAATCCTGACCTCAAGAAAAAAATCTAATTATAATTAGACGAGATTACAAATCAAAGCAAAAAAAGATGCCAAGTTTTTGGAAGCTAGCCTACAACAAAAATAAAAGCTCCGCACTGGAAAAACCCATAGTCCCAAAAGATGATTATTATTCTTTGTAATAGAAAACAAGACAGCAGGGACCACAGATGTTTATTTACCCCTTAAAATTGATCTGCCCTTTACTGCAAGTTCTTCCAAAGAACACTTTTTTTATTATTTTTAAAGAAGCATGCGAGATGGCAAGATAATTCTCCCTTGACCTTTTGTGGCCAACTTGACAATGACCTTCAAAAGACTCAAACACTTAAAAAAATTTTTTTGCAGTTTACACTAAAAAAACATTTTGAGATTTTTTTTCCCCACACACTTAAGCATCATTGTTAAACCCTAAAACACATGAATAACTCAGTCTCTGTTTATAAACAGAAAAAAATTTGCCTCTCTTAAGTCAAATTTTATTATGCACGTCTACATCACAAACCATTCAAGTCCACCCTGTACCTGTATTTTTCTCAAGAAAGGAGCATAGCTGGGTTACTCTTTTTATAATCCATTCTGAATTTAAGTTTTTGAGGGATTTGCCTTACCTGCTTTTTCCCTGTTGCTCATACTTTCACGGGACACAAAGAAAAACCAAAATGATTTTCAGCAATTAAATCAAAAATGTACCAGCTATCCAAAGCACAATCATGCCAATCATCTAATTATCGCTCTGTTTCTTTTTCCCAACTAGATAAGCACAGTTAATCCAAAACACTGCTCCCAGGCAGGAAGTAATTTTTGCTGATCTTAGGAGGGGGTCTTGAGATTAAAGGAACTACTTTCCTGGTGTAACAGTTTCATTTTAGATTTCCAGGAGCTCCAGCTGCCTGTTCATACCAAAGAGACCCATCCACAGGCGGTAGGGCTTTCACAGGGCTGGTACCATACACAAGCCAAAGATTTCAGATGAAAAGGTGGGGGTTTTTTGCATGCCCTACTCAGCAAATATGAAGTAAGAGCAGAAAGCGGTGCAACCCTCCTTGCTAGAAATTTTCCACCTTAGCTATAAACGTTAGGCAACACAAAACAAAGCAGCATGCACTTCTGCCTCTGGAGTACAACTTGTGTGAGACATTCCTTCTTTTATTGTTCTACTGAAACAGTTACAAAGAGAATAAATAAACAAAGAGAATTCAGCAGAACTTTGTCTCATTTTCCTCCCAGCAGTGATTTTTAGCTTCCCTAAAAATCAACCTGGTTTTTGGTTTGTATGCCTGCATTAGTACACTTGCACAAAGATGAGGGATATCACTGGCAAAGCCTTCTCCACAGCCCTTTCCTCTCACTCTGGCCCACAGTCTTTCTTACAGACACCCGCATCTAGGACAGGACAGCTGCCATTGCTGAGATCCCAAAGAGCCACCAAGGATCTCATATCAGAACTTCCAGCTCAGTGCCGCCCAGATAAGAAACCCACAGCATGGACACCTGGAGTGACACCCTAGGAGGGAAATGACTACAGGGATGCGAGATTTACTCCCAGTGGGAGGGTAACCCACAGGGCACCTGACTGAGCCAGCGGCAGCACAAACGGACAGAACCGCATTGTGCCCACCTGCTTCCCTCATCTTGGGATGAGCAGGGTACCGAGTGGGGCCAGGGCAGGGCTGATTGCGTCCGTGAGGGCAGGACAGGGAAGGGGACCTGAGGGAAGCCGCCTTTCTCACCTTGCTCACGACGTTCTGGACGAGGCCGGCTCTGATGCGGTAGTGCCACTCGTGGCAGTCGCACTCGCTGGCGTTGCCCCCTGCCGGGGTGGGCAGCCCGGGCGGTGGGAA